TTAGGGAATTTGTTCCATGCCGCCATATGGGGCAACGTACGATGGCTAAAATGATCTTCTGTCTGTCAGTGTTGCAGACTGCGGAATGGAACCCTCAGCATCCAGATCCGAGGAAGGAGCCGGCTTGTCTTCGCGGGATGTTCTCGTGGACGCATCCCTTGAGTCTTCTCGGTTCTCACCCGAGAGGAGCTCGAAAGGGTAAAGAGACAGTTTGACGTCCGCGCAAAGGTGTTCCTCGACGACACTCGATCGTCGAGGCATCCCTCTGATGGCTTAGCTGCTATCTCCGAAGAGATCTTCAAGGGTGGGGGGATGATTCCTCTTCATCCCTTTATTAGGTCGGTCCTGGATCACTTCGGGATCGCACCAATGCAGTTAATGCCAAACGCGTATATCATCGCCGTTGCGATGTACATCGCGTGCCGCGAGAGCGGCTTGGGCGAGCTAACAGCGGTGGAGCTCGGCTGCGCGTATTTCCTCAAAAGGAGTAAGGACAATGACTCCTATAACTTGTCCCAGCGACCTACCATTGCTGGAGGGATACATAGCTATCCCAGCAACACGGGGGCCTACGAGACGAAGTTTTTCTTCTTCTGTTATGACGGCTACTGCCTCTTTCAGGATCCAAGTAGATTCTTCTTCGCTAGATTCATTAACTGTGCATTTCTTTTTTCCTAACGACCTGCATTCCTTTGCAGTTAACAAGTCAACCAGCCTGGACCTGCTCACTGACCTGGACAGGATTGTGTCTTTTGGGGTTCTCCCCGAAGAAAGTCGGGACGCGAGGAAGCTCGTGACGACCGCAAACTTGTGGAAGTACGGTTTTTTCAGCAGTAACACGTCTTTAGAGTCCCTAGAGTGTAAGTTGGGCAGACTGATTCCTTTCTGGTCGTAGAATAATTTTTTGTTTAGATACTAACGTACTTGCACGCAGCGACCATACCTCAGAAAGAGTCTGAGCAGCCCCAGCGAGCGCCATTTAACTTCTCTCGATCGAGGAGGGCCAGGGCGGCCGAAGCTGCTCGCCCCATAACGGTAGAACCGGTGCGAAATGTCGAGCCTTCATAGCCCCGTCCTGAGGAAGAAACGACCAGGTTAGAATAGGTCGCTCAGCCATCGCCTGCCCGCCCGAGGCGGAAGATAATGGCTCAACAGTCGAAGAAGAGGAAGCATATTCAGGTCGACGAGTCAGAGACCGAATCTGAGGGTGACCAACCCATGAGGTCGTGGCGGGAGTTGGCAGGAGGTCAGGCAAGGAATCCGTGGACAAGACGGTTGCTGCCGACAGGGCTAAGGGCACTCCGGTGCTGGATGCGCTGGGGAACCTACACGAATACCTGCAGCCGATAGTCTACTGCCTACTCAAGTGTGGACTATCGGAGTCATAAGATGAGTTCGCCGATACAGGCGATGTTGACCTGATGACCACGTCGGTGTAGCATCTAAGCAAGGTGAATGGATTGTTCTTGAAGGGTTTGCTCGCCATTTTTATTCTAACTCATTTCTTGTTCGCAGGCTTTGCTCGCCATGAGAATGTCCCTGGAGAAGGCTCGGCTGGGAGCCGCGAAGGGGGAAAACGATCTGAAAGAGGAGACCGCGAAGCTCAAACAGAGCCTGGAGGGCGTCGAAGCGGAAAGAACGCTGTCCGCAGAGGCAGCGAACAGATACTTGAACCAAAAGACGGCTGCTATGCGTACAGTGGACTTCCAAAAGACTGAGCTTGAGCGACACGCGGAGGAAGTAAAAGAGCTCTAGAGGACAACTGCTATACTCTCCAAGGAGGTCAGAGAGAAGGACCAGGAGCTCCAGACGACCTTAATGCGGGCTCAGCGAGCAGAACAAGAAATGGAGGCCTCCGAAAGGAGAAGGCTAACTCTTGAGGCCGAGCTCCAAGAGAGTCGGGGGAAGGTTGCTTCCCTGACTGAAGAAATGTGGAGCTGGTCGGAGGAGGTCGAGGATAAGGTCATCGACTGGGTGATCGGGTCCATCTATGCCCTGCGACCAAAGAATCCAAATCTGGATATGTCCGACCTCCCGGGGGACTGATAGGAAGCCTTGCAGACCTTGGCGATGGAAGATGATAAAGCAGCAGCAGCCCGAGGACCCGACCAGGCAGGGGGTTCGGGTTCTGCTTCGAAGAAGCCCCCCACCGACCAGGCCTAGTGTGATAAGGCCGACCCAATAGGAGTCAATAAGGTCAATTTTTATTGTACATAAATGATACATTTTTCTTTCAATTGCTATTCACTTAATCATACATGAGTGCAATTTACAATTCAGTTTATTTACATAGGAAATATTACATGCGAACTGTTACAAGCGAACAGAATAATATTTTACAAGGAAAAAGGAAACCTTAACAAAATCAAAAACTAATTTACAATGAGAGTTGAGTTCGGGATTACTGGTAGTATGGCCGGAGGTGCTCAGCATTCCAAGCTCGGGGTACTTTGGAACCGTTCAGCCTTTTGAGATGGTAAGTCCCAGGTCTGATCACCTTGTCGACCCGGTACAGACCTTCCCAGTTCGGTCCTAGTACCCCTGCACTTGGCTCCCTGGTTCCGAGGAGAATTTCTTTTAGTACAAGGTCACCGACCTGGAAGTCTCTTCGCTTGACCTTTGAATCGAAGAACCTCTTTGCACGCTACTGGTAGGCTGCTATCCTTAGAGAAGCCTTTCTACGGTGTTCTTCAACAAGATCCAGACTCGCTCTCATAAGTGTTTCGTTTTCAGCCTCATCGTATAAGTCCCTCGGAAGAGAACCAGTTCCTACCTCCATAGGAATCATTGCTTCGCAGCCATAGGCTAGCGAAAAGGGCGTTTCTAAGGTGGAAGTTCTCGGAGTTGTCCTGTACGCCCATAGGACTTCAGGGAGATCGTCGGCCCAATTTCCCTTGGCCACCCCAAGCTTGGCCTTTAGAGTGTGCTTGATGGTCTTATTGACAGCTTCAACTTGGCCATTTGCTTGCGGTCTTGCGACTGAGGCAAATTTTTTATGGATGCCCAGCTCGTTGCAGAACTGCTTGAACTCCTCGTTGTCGAATTGCTTTCCATTATCCGATATGAGGGTGTGAGAAATTCCGTAGCGGCACACTATATTCTTGAAAACGAAGTCTTTCAACTTTCTGGTCGTGATCGCGGCCAGCGGTTCAGCTTCCACCCATTTTGTGAAATAGTCTACCGTGACCACGGCATACTTAACTCCCCCTTTTCCGACTGGCATGGGACCGATAAGGTCAATCCCCCACATGGAAAATGGCCAGGGGCTAGTCATCGTTGTCAGCTCATGAGAGGGGGCTCGCAGAATGTTCGCGAACCGCTGACACTTGTCACACCTCTTGACAAAATTACGGGTATCTTCTTGGATCCAGGGCCAATAATACCCTTGACGAACAACCTTGTTCGTGAGAGATCGTGCGGCAGTGTGATTACCGCAGATCCCTTCATGAATTTCCCTTATGATGTAATCTGCCTCTTCACTAGTCACACATCGGAGGAGAGGGGCACTGAATGCTCGCCTGTACAGCTGGTCTCCAACGAGAGAGTAACGGGCAAATCTTGTTCGCAGGACCCGCGCCTCGACCTTGTCTGAGATCCCATCCTTGAGATATCTGTAAATGGACGTCATCCAGGAATCTGATTGCGTTACATTCAGGGCCTGTTCGATCGGGCTGATGCTTGGAGCCTCGATGAACCGAACGGGAATGCTATCAGGTGCCTCTGAGTCCAACGATGAGGCTATCTTTGCCATGGCATCCGCCACAGAATTGCTATCTCTAGGGATTTGAGTGATCACGAAGTGCTTGAACGGCTTAAGCGCGACCTTAGCTTCTTTCAGATAACGGATCATGTTTTCTTTCTTGGCTTGGTATTCTCCTAGGATTTGGTTGATGACCAGTATAGAGTCGCTGTGGACGCTGATCGCGGTTGCACCCATTTCTCTAGCCAACCGTAATCCAGCGAGTAGAGCTTCGTACTCAGCTTCATTGTTGGTCGCCTTGAATTCGAACCACAGGATGCTGTGAATGTGAGCCCCTTCGGGACTCAAGAGAAGGAGGCCTGCTCCTCCCCTTTTCCTGGTCGATGACCCGTCGACATAAAGGCTCCAGGTCGATAGGTTCTGAATGTTCTCTTGGATGGCTTCACTGGGCTATTGCTCTGACTCGTTCGGGAGATAAGAGAATTCTGAAATAAAGTCAGCAACAGCTTGCCCTTTAATGGTCGACCTGGGCTTGTACTTCAGGTCGAACTGGCTTAATTCCATAGCCCATTTGAGCAGTTTACTCGAGGCTTCTGGATTCTAGCTTCTGGAGGACCTGCATGAGGGGATAATTAGTTATTACGTGGATCGTATGGGCGTGAAAGTAAGGTCGCGGCTTTTTGGAAGCGATCAGCAGGGTATAGGCCAATCGTTCCATTTCCGGATACCGCATCTCAGCATCCGACAGGCTCTTGCTCGCGTAGTAAACAGGCCATTGAACTTTTTCCACTTCTCGAACTAGGGCTGCACTGACCGCGAACTGAGAAACGGACAGGTACAAGGGCAAGATCTCTTGTGGAAGAGGCTTGGAGAGGAGAGGTGGCTTCCCGAGGTGTTCTTTTATACTTTGGAACGCCTGTTCGCATTTGGGAGTCCATTCGAATTTCTTATTGGCCTTCAGAACATTGAAAAACGGCAAGCAGCGATCTGTTAACCTCGATATGAAATGACTGAGTGCCGCTATTCGCTCGTTAAGACTCATGACCTGTTTTTTGCTAGTCGGGCTTTCCATATCGAGGAGAGCTTGAATTTTTTCGGGGTTGATTTCTATTCCCTGCTGGTTAACCATGTAACTTAGGAACTTACCCGAGGATACCCAGAACGAACACTTGAGCGGGTTCATTTTCATTTTGTACAGTCGGAGGATATCAAAGATCTCTGCGAGATGCGCTACGTGATCTGAAGCGACATGGGATTTGACCAGCATGTCATCTACGTAGACCTCCATTGACTTGCCGATCTAGTCAGAGAACATTCGGTTAACCAGCCGCTGGTAGGTCACGCCAGTGTTTTTGAGGTCGAAAGGCATGACCTTATAGCAATACAGTCCCCGATCTGTAATGAAAGATGTGTGCTCTTCATCCGGCGCATATATCAGAATCTGATTGTACCCCGAGTATGCGTCCATGAAACTTAGCAGCCCCAAGGTGACATCCACGAGCTGGTCAATTCTTAGTAGGGGGAAGCTATCTTTAGGGCAAGCTTTGTTGAGGTCGTTGAAGTCAACGCAGGTTCGCCACTTGCCATTGGGCTTCTTTACCAGAACTGGGTTGGCGACCCAGATCGGGTATAGTGTCTCCCGGATGGATCCGTTATTGAGGAGGTTGTCCACCTCTAGCTTTAGGGCAGAGTAACGATATGGATCCATCACCCTTCGCTTCTGGCGAACTGGTTTGGCTTCACTATCGATATTTAATGTGTGGCAAATGACATCCGGGCTGATCCCGACCATATCTGCATGCGACCATGTGAACACATCGATGCTTTCCCTGAGGAAGCCTATTAGTTCGGTAGCGAGCTGGGGATCGAGGTTTTTACCGACTCTTAACACCCTGCTCGGCTCTTTCTGGTCGACCAGCACTTCAGTCAGGTCCTCAACTGGCCCACTAGAAGGGCAGTCTTGAATGCGAGGGTCTAGGTTGTCCTCGGTCGGATCAGGTCGTGGATCGATCCTGCTGATCGCCATGGCTTGGCCGTGATTACCGCGCGCGATGCCATTTCCTTTGTACGCCATTTGGACCGCTTTTACATAGCAGTCGCGCGAGGCACGCTGAGACCTGCTGACTTCCCCGATCCCTGTCGGGGTGGGGAACTTAATCTTTAGATGGTAAATTGAAGTGACCGCCTTGAACTGTCTTAGCAGAGGTCGCCCAAGGATCCCATTGAAAGCTGACGGACAGTCTACCACTAAGAACTCCATTACCTTGGTCACTTCGTCAAAATCGCCCAGTGTGACTGGGAGTGAGATTGTTCCCTTGGGGAGTAGATGGTCTCTCGTGAATCCGTATAGCGGGAACGAGGCAGGCTTCAGGTCGGTCTCGTCCAGATTCATCCTTTCAAAAGTGGATGCGAACAAGATGTTCACAGCATTTCCGTTATCCACTAACATTCTTTGGGTGTTATAGCGTCCTATCAGGGGAGTGATTACAAGGGCGTCTTCGTGGGGATGATGCAACCTAGCCGCATCCTGTTCGAAGAAGGAGATTTCCACCTCCCTGTGAACCTTTTGTGGTCGATGTTCTGCACTCATCACTCTAACGGGGTCATGATGTGCTTCGCGAGCGTACCTTTCTTGGGCACCTCGCGAATTTCCAGCGAAGTACGGTCCCCCGACAATCAAATTGAGACTAAGCACCCCCTTCTAATCGCGGCACTTCTTACTCGGCTCCCCCCGATCTTTCTCTTTCGAGGGAGCAGAGTCATCGATGTACTCCTTGAAATGCCCCTTCTTGATAAGCTCTTCGATTGCTTGTTTCAGAGCTCGGCACTCGTCAGTATGGTGCCCATTGTCCCGATGATAGTGACAATACTTTTTATTATTTTTGGCTGTCGCAGGGGTTTTTATGGGCTCGGGCTATCCGAGCAGACTGGCTTCTTCGAATTTATCAAGAATGGCAGATACAGAGGCGTTCAGTGGAGTATATTGGTGCCTGTCGCGATCGCGACGAGGAACGGGTGCATAGGACTTTCTGGGCTCGTAGCGAGGTTTCTTCCATTTTCGCTGATCGTCGGCTGCCCCTCCATGATCAGCCCTTCGGCTTTCCCCCCTACTAGACATACTGCCAGCAGCGCCAGAGTCGCGACGGCGGAGTGCCACTGGCGAGTTTTCTATCTGGAGATATTTCTCCGCAAGGTTATAGAATCTGGTGGGGGAAACATTGTCCTTAGCCTGTAATTCTTTCCACAGGTCGGTTTGCGGGCGAACTCCAACTATTATGAGTGTTCGGATGGACTCTTTGGGAGCATGAGCCACCTTGTTGAGTTCTCTATGGAAACGGTCAATGTAGGATTGTAAGGATTCATCCCTTTCTTGCCTTATGTTACTGAGATAGCTCAAAGGCATCGAAAACTTTCGATTTGCTTGGAAATGCCGTAGGAACGTCTTGCTCATCTGAGGCCACGAACTGATCGATCCCGCTGGGAGTGACCTTAACCACCGTTTGGCATGAGAAGTTAAAGTCATGGCCAAACAACGACATTTTGCAAGATCCGAAACCTGGTGAAGCTCCATCAGGTCGTTTAACTCATACAAATGATCTTGTGGGTCATGGTTCCCATTAAACAGCCGCATGTCGGGCATCCTGAACCCCGGTGGGAGTGGAGCAGCTAACACTTCGGGAGAGAAGGGGGATGCAGAGGTGACCTGGCCTTGCTCGTTTTGCTGCTCTCTCAGTCTATCCAGAGCTCACTACAGCTCCTCAATTTGTGGTAACGAAGCCAATTGGGGATTGCTTTCACTCATGCGAGTCCGGCCCTCGCGATTACGGTTCAGGAAAGTCCGGAGGTCGGACTCCTCTTCCCCTTGGCCGGCACTTCCGGCCGCTCTCGACACATGCTGGCTAGATGCGTGTGAAGGCGATGGATGGTGTGGAGTATTTTCACGACCCTCATGGTGGTACGAACCGCCCCGAGAGGTGTGGAGACCACCCGCATGATAGCGATCAGGATCGTTCTACTGGCGGTGATAAGAATCGCCCCCCAGCACTTTTGCTTGGGTTCACCTGCGACGTGGCGTGGGACAGCTCGGGATTTACTTTTCGCCGAGTCTCAGCTTTGTCGGCACCCTGCTTGGGGCACGGTTTGTGTTTGCTGGCCCTTTGGAGCCCGTAGGCTTGATTTTTGCCACTTGCTTACCCTTACGTCTATACGCTGCAGTGCTCGCGGTATGGGCTATTTCCCTTTGCCGCGCTTTCGTGCGACCTGTAGGCGTTTTTTGCGGTTGCACCGCCCCAGCTGTTCTAGATGGCACGCCTTGGACTAGACGGTCTAACCTTTGGTTGACTGTCTGGATAGTATTGTCGAACCTCTCCATGTAGCTTCTGATGGCGGGGTCAAGTTGCGAAGTTGCTGGGATATCCACCGCAGCATTTTGTGGAACTGGAAGTGTCTTGGAAGAGGTATCCCCCTGGGTTAGGGGAACTCCCTCAGCGTGCTGGTTGGCTTGCTCAGGTTCAGATTGGCGGGCCATTTGTTGCTGTAGGACCAGTAGGTTAGAGATTCTCCTGATGAAGAATGAACACTAAATCGGCCCTCCTTCTAGCGCCAAACTGTTGATGCGTGATTTTGACACAAACTAATCGACACGTGCGCAACGTTGGTTGGCCAAGAGACACACATGAATATGGATAAAGTGTAGTAAATGTAGTAGTGAGAGCTTTTTAAAGTGGTTCGGATGCTAAGGTAGCAAGTCCTACGTCCATTGCTAGTTGTATTGATATTGTGGGTCAGGTCGCAACAGCGGACTAACTTAGAAATGATTAGCGAAAAGTAAATGCAAAGGTACAAGAGAGAGACAACTAATTCAGAGTGTAAAATGGCCGAATCCCCTCAATGAAAGGGTCTTCTCCTTTTTATAGTGAGATGAGTGCAAGTAATCATCATTAAATCCGTGGGTTAGTGTGAATGTCAGGACAAAATTCGGCTTTATGTCACATTGCCCACCTTCCATACTGATTTCACGCGATTTGGAGCAGGGAATGGACACGTGGGATCTCCACAGCGTCTGGCAGGTTTGGCGCGCACTTACCGTTCTGACGGGAGCAGGTCACACTCCATTACGTGATTTTCCATGTCGGCTCTTGATTTTCCGGGCATAACAAATTTAAATATGAGAATTTAAAATTTATGAAACTAGTGGTGGGAGCTTGCTATTTTGAAACACGACGTGCGCTCTATTTCTGGCTATATTCTCGTATAAACCAATATATCAGTGGAGTTAACAAGTCAACATCAAGTCACCAACCAAAAGCACAATCAGCAGCCGTTGATCAGAGAAGATTATATGGTCCGCTTCCTGTAAAAGTGAGGGATAACTGCGTCAACCACACTGAATCCTTTCACCGCCCGCCAGAACTAGCGTCATTATTTTTCAAGTCGATATTAGTACAGAAAATGAGCCCTTTCCAAGTCATTTCTCCATTAAAAAGAACTGCAGTGACAATACGGTTTCAAATTTTAAAACAAAAAAAATATTAAATTAATTTCATAAAATAATATAAAAAGAAACTTTCCTACTTGCTATCTCTAAATATGCCCTTTTTGTTTCATCATCGAATTGACAGTAAACAGACTCGAATAAGCCAAGCAGAGAAATCTTGATGGCCGGGTAAGCATTCTGATCACAGACAATAAGTAGCATTTCTGTCTTTAATCTGTGTTTGATATGATAAAAAGGATAGAGAATAGAAGACGGTTAGGTTGAGCTTTGTCTTGTCTTAAGCTCATAAATCACTTGTTTTTGCATGGCTTTATTTTACCTAATATGGGTTTATTTATGGAAATTGATATTTGGGTTATTTAAGATGTTTTTAAAGCGAATATCAAGTGGGTGATTTCATTGATTTCTGTGAATAGGTTTTGATAATCGGAAGTGAAAACTTGTAATGCAGTTGGAAGTGATTACATTATCGTACATGCTTGTGAATTTGTTTTCAGAAAGTTTTAGACTTTTTGATTCTCTGCTCGCTTTAAACTGAAAGTTAGGTTTATTTTTTATTATTTTTTAAATTTTCGAGAACCCTAATAAGATACAAACTTTCAAAAATATGTTTTTTCACTGAATCATGTGACACTGTTCATGGTTATAATGGCTATGTAATCATGTTCCGGTTATGAGTTCACACCATTTTCTTTAGAATGTTAGTGGATAATGAGATAACTACAGATAGATATGTACAAACTAGTTGTCACTTGCTTGTTTTCAAGGTTGAAGGATATTCGTCAAGCTGTGGACCATGGTACTTTGGGTTGAGAGCTGAACTATCAATGAAAAAAGCTTTTGAATATTTCACTTTTAATTGAGAGTGGAGCTATCATTTTCTTTCCCTGCTTGACTTATTTGATTTGGTATTTATGGGTTTTATTAAGAAAAACTGTGGGTAACTTTAATGTTTGATTATGCTGTGCATTAAAGTTCATAAGTTTGGATGTCCACACTTGCTTTAAAGTTTATACCTCAGCTCATGGGGCGAAGAGTTGAAAGGAGTTTACAAAATTCTTTCTTTGACAAGATTTTACAAATTCTTGCAACTTCTAATCATGAGTTGAGGTGACTCATACACTAATTGAGGTGTGGTTTTCGAAAAGAAAAATGCAAATATGCCCTGTGTTATGTAATATGGTTTTGAGTGCAAAAATTTGTACTTTGTGCAGACCATCATGGTTGGTGGACGGTAACAGATTTGCAACAAAAATCAAGAGTGCATCTGGGACATCCGATCCCGAAAGAGTTAAATGGAAAAGCAATCCAAGTAAAGCTTGTCCGAATTGCCATTTTGTTATTGATAACACTGATGTAAGTTTCTTACTTTCTTCTGCCTCCTATTTAATCAGTTTTATTCTCAAACGGAATCATGATTCCTTGAATTTATTAGTGATTTTGATGTAATGTACAATGCCTATGATGCATAGTTTTCGGGATTTTGATTGATTGTTTTACACAGCTGATGTACTCATGTCTTATGAACTGATTTTACTTATAAACATTAGTTTATCTAGAGACTTGGCATTACTTCTCAAGCTTGTAAATGTGTTATTGCTATCAACAACAAATCATTTTAGTTTTTGATTTTTCTATTCCATGTTTAAAGTGTTAGGATATTTTCATAGGTCAAAGTTATGCAGGCTAGATATTGTGATTTTAAAAGGAAGGTGTTAAAAAATGTCCTCTATCTCTATCAGTATTATTTGTGTACTAGAGTGAAAATCTTTCTCAAGTGAATTGAAATATTGTTGTGTGCAGTTAACTAGTAAACAATATTATTGCATTATACCTTTAGAAAGGACACAGTACTCTTATGTTTGTCCTTTAGTGACATACCAATATCCTGCTTCAAGTTCGTCTATGATTTATTGATCTAGTGTGTAATGAAAAGTGAAATAATATTCACTAAACTCTATTGAAATATGAGTGTTCTGACAAGTGGTGTCCATAATTTCCATAATCCCACTGAGTGGTTGTTCATGAGTGTTTTTTCGTAACTCTATGATGAAATAGGTTTTAAGCACTTGAAGAAACAGGAGTCAAGCTGTGTCATTTCAATGGCCTTGAGGTCAAATGACTTAGGCTTTTCAAATGAAGGGAGGTAGTTTCAGTCTGGTTCAAAACCTGCCTTGTGGTTTAAGGGTGGGGGAGGGCTATTCCTTGACTTTTGCCCTAGCCATTAAATTAGAAAAGAAGAAAAAATGGTGCTCAACAGCTTATGAAAGTATTGAGTAATTTGGAAATATGTTTATAACTGATAGAATTAAGAATATCTGCTGGAAAGAAATCCAGTTTTAAAGATGTACCACAATTACACTTTTATTTATTCATCTTTTGTGTTTATATGTATGTTTTTTTTTGCTTACCCATTTAGCTCTGGCGGTGCTGTCAATGATACTTGGTGTCCTGTAGATCCTATATTGGTTAGGAAACTGCTTCCCTGGTACTGGTCTTCAGTTGTGGGGACAACAAAAATTTAAGTTTTGTGTTCATTCCATATATTTGTGGTTCTCTTTCCCTGTACGATTTGCAATATAGTGGTATTCTACTTATCAAGTTTTCTTTTCTTCACCATGAACTAACAAAAAATCAAATATAACTAGATTGAATTTCTATTTTCACTGCATTCCCTTATATGTAATTTTCTGTATAAATTAGAATTGTTAAATGCTTCTAATTTCCCCATCTTTGTTACTACATGCTATTTTTCTTATGCTTCTTGTTCCATCTTCTGATGTCTTATGATAGCCTTGCAGAGTATTCTCTAATATTCATGATATAGTGCTTTTATCTGTTTGTGGACTGGGTGATATTTTTTCATTACACTTGTGATTTAGAATAAAGTATGCTAAGATCAGAGGTATAGTATTGATCAATGGATTATCTTTTTTCATTTTTCTTGGAAAGGAAATTTCTATGCTCCATGAAGAATCTTGACCTGAATTCTTTTTTGTTCGTGTATGTGTTGATTTAGGCTCCGTTTGGTTCATTATTGGGTAGTTTTTAGAATAATCTTTTAAAAAAAGTTAAATTGGGTGGGTATTACGATGTAGAATTTTGAAAATTAACATAAATACCCCTTTATGTTTATTTATCTACTAAACACCCCTATAATAAAATATTCAAAATTAACAAAAACATTCCCAATCTACTCATAAATACGGACAGATGGCCACCACCATTGGAGGGTGGCTGGAGTTACTGTATCGGCGTATGACCGGCTCGATCTTGCCAGTTGTGCGCCGCTATGGCCTTTTCCGGCCAAATCCACCGTGGATCTGGCCGGAAAAGGCCAGATCTGCAGCTAGATCTGGCCATTGACGGCCAGATCTGGCCGCATTTGACGGCCAAAGATACGGCCGTCGTTGATGGTCTACAACGACCATATCTTGGCTGTCGTTGACGACTGTCTACGGCCAAAGATCACGGCTAGATCTTTGGCCATAAATCTGACCTTTTTCGGAAAAGGCTAGATCGGCGCACTGCCGGCCAGATTCAGCTGGTAGTGCGCCATTACACCAGATTCCGGCTAACTTTTGGCAGTGGTGGCCGGAATCTGGTAAATTTGGGTTGCTGGGGTGTTTTTGTCAATTTAAAAAAAAAAAAAATTGGGGGTTGTTTAGTTAAATTAACAAATTTAGGGGGTTTAAAGGAGATTAAATAATTTAGAATTATATTTTGAAAATAGGTTAACCAAAGTTAACTTTTTTGGGAAAACTAGAAAAGTTTTCCCAATATGTGAACCAAACGAAGCCTTAGAAGTTTGGGTTTTCCTTTTTAGGTTGAGACTTGCATTTCACCACTTCTAGTGCAGATGAAGTTTGATGTCAACTCTACCCAGCCTGAACTTTAAAGAGTACTACCACCTTATGGTTCATTCTCTTAATGGCATCTATAACCAATATTTTTCAGGTTACTCAAGAGTGGCCAGGATTGCCAAGAGGGGTGAAATTTGATCCATCTGATCAGGAAATTATATGGCATTTACTTGCAAAAGTTGGTGTTGAGGGCTTCAAAACCCATCCATTTATTGATGAGTTCATTCCGACTCTTGAGCAAGATGATGGAATCTGCTACACACATCCTCAGAATTTGCCAGGTTGGTAATGAGAGTTTGAGCTGGTTTTTCCTTTTGATCCTGTTTATTTGTTAATTTTAGTTCCAAAAATATAAAACTTTTAGGTGTTAAGCAAGATGGAAGTGTGTCCCATTTCTTTCATAGAGCAATCAAGGCTTACAGTACTGGAACTCGAAAACGCCGAAAGATAAACGGCGATGATTTTGGTGATGTCCGCTGGCACAAGACTGGCAGAACTAAACCAGTGACATTGGATGGAGTTCAGAGAGGGTGTAAGAAGATTATGGTTCTTTATATGAGCATGGTAAGAGGAGGGAAAGCTGAGAAAACAAATTGGGTGATGCACCAATATCACCTAGGAACAGGGGAAGATGAGAATGATGGAGAATATGTTGTATCTAAAATACTTTATCAGCAACAACAGGCGAAACAGAGTGATAAAACTGAACAAGAATTTCCTGAAAGCACTGATGCCATTATCGCAAAAGTAGATCCTGTCACTCCAAAGTCAGTGACTCCTGACCCACCACGTTCTGAAAGACAGTATTTTGATTTGGACATGGGACAAGAGTCTACTAATACTGGTACTTCCACAGATCCATTAACTCAAGTAAGGATTCTTTCGTCCAAATAGTGGTGCAGAAACCTGCTTTCTGTTATTTTGTCTTTATTTAATTCGGGTTGAAGGGTTCAAAACTGAAAGCAATAATATTGATGTGCTTGTGCTTTGCCTGTTAATCAAACAATTTAAATTGATCAAATTAGAAAGATAAAATGAAGGTGCAGGGAATTTCTACTTATTCATTTCACACATCTTTTGAAAATAAATTCTGACAATGCTTGTTTTGTTTTAATTTATCTAAGCTCCCTGACATGAGGCATGTCGAGGAAGAGGTTGAACCTGAATGTGAACAGCCTAGTTACAATTCTCAGCCCAAAGCAGAATGTAATGCTAATCAGATTGTAGATAATAATGATAATCATTCTGAGGGAGAACATAAATTATCAGAGAGTGAACTACAGTATCTGTTGGATTCGCAACAATTTGCGGAAGGGCTATCTGTATGTGATGAGCTTCTCCAAAGTCAATCTTCAACTAGGGATGAAAATGAGAATGATGGAAGATCCAATGGAAAGCCCTGTCTTTCTGATTATGCTCGTTTAGGACCAGAAAATTTGAAGAAGGATTTGGAGGAATGTCAAAATCTGGTCATTGATCCAGCAAACATAGAACTTGATACTCCTCCAGAATTTCGGTTGAGCCAGCTTGTATGTTTTCTTCTCTGCTGTTTACCCTATGTTGTATTTATTGAAATCATTATTTTCTTTCGGTTATTGTTTGATTGTGATGTATCCTGACCTTCGCATGTTGTTTGTAGGATTTCTGTTCACAGGATAGCTTCCTTTCATTCGGTGGAAGTAAGGCGAATGAATACAAATGAATGCATAGCAGAAGAAAAATCAGTGAATATTTTGTGGTTACACTTAAGTGAGAATTTTGCTTGTTAAAAATGTCCTCAGGTGACCTTGAACTTTATTTTTGCCGGACACCTACAGTATACAGCAAAGTTACTTATGCTGTAATTTCCTACTATTTTTTTGCTGGGATGTAGCTGTCTACATAACTTATGCTGTAATTTCCCATATCCAAGGCCATCTAAGTTATGATAGCCAAACAATGTACATCTGAATTCTGATAACTAGTTTCTACATCCTGCAATCTTGCATGTTTTCTGGAACTTTTATCTCATCTGCAATAACTTTATTCTAGGAGTAATATTATACATATAACATTTTTATATAATATTTCTCATACAGCGTTGTGTGACAAAAAATGATTGGATGAAAGTTTATTTTTAATTTAAAATTAACTAATTATTTTTTGTCACATTATGTTATATAAAAAATGTTATATAAAAATATTGTACGTATAGTTTCATGCTTATTCCAGATAAGTGTGTTCATGGGCTTGATTAAGTCTTAAGTTTGTTCCAAGGAGTTTCATGCTTATTCCAGATAAGTGTGTTCATGGGCTTGATTAAGTCTTAAGTTTGTTCCAAGGCCTTTTGTTGCTGAAATTTTCTGGCTGGCGCTTAACTGTCTTGAGGATTGATATTTTGTATCATTTGTTCATCTAGCAAATACATCTAACTGATTCAGACCCGGATTAATGTTCTGTCATCTAAACAAGTTTAACGCTCTTGTCTAGAGAATCTAGGATGCTGGACTGCATGTCAGTGTAAGGCTAGAATCGCAATTTTTTTTAGAAGTATTGAACTTTTTCAAAATAGTTTGAAATTCGGTTAATATTATGACACACCCGTTTGTATAAATTAAATCAACTAGTTACCATTTCAGATAATTCTAGTTTCTCTTAGAGAGTATTAGAATAGAATTTAATGGCAGAACTAAATTTCGATGTGGGGCTTCTAGTCATTGGCAGAACTCGTGTTGTGTTGAATTTGAAGAAACATAAATGGAACGAATCAAGATCAGCAGAGCTTAGAAAAATTGAAACATTCATGAACCTGTAAAGGACTTACAGATCATACAAGTTGGCTTGAAAATGATAGAATACACAAATGGGTCTTCTAGGCATAAAGAGGTCCCAGGGCATGCTGGCTTGTTCAAGGACAATATGATTGGTTGTGGGGAAGATGGGTTAAGACATCCTTGTAGTTAACTTGGCTGGCACGTTGAAGGGTATAAAGAGTAGGGTACTCCTTCATTCGATGTACAACACAAATCTTCCATGGAAAAACCAAGAAAACTGGGCCACTATTCTTTGTAAAAGGATTTAGTGCTATGGTCAGCGTTGGTTCCATGTTCAGAGTGAATTGAAGATGAGACAATCAGCCAATTGGATGGCGGAATTTTGGCATGAAGCTTGTTTCTCCAGGTCTGGCCAGTTTCATTCATTCTGCACATATGTACAATTTTGATAATATTGGATATTTGTATTTTTATATAATTCGAACAAAAAAGTGTATAAATAAAGAATTTTTCAGAACATATTAGTTTAATAAATCTAAATTTAAAACAAAAATGTGGTCGGCTAACAAGAATACGGAATCTTAATCTAATATGTGGGTAGCCCAAATCTTTCACAATATGCCTGCATATATAATCCAAAGCTTTAATATTGTTACTAGCCCACTTAAGAACATGTTTTACTACCTAACCATAACTGCCAACCACTTAGTATTGTCTCCAAAACATCAAAATTTATTTGTATATAACTGCTATAGTCTTCAAAATCAGCATCAAACCAGCTTTGCAACTACCCGACATTAGATTTTGTATATATAATAACCCTCTTTAATTTTCTTACCAACTATTGAAAATAATTAAAACTCAAAAACTTTTCTCTAGTGAGAACCATCTCGTTCAAATGGATCATCGAAGAAATTCACGGTCCGGAACAATTTGCTATCTGTAGTTTAGAAGAATAAGAAGGTAGTAATGCTAAGGTGGTGGTGGATGGATTATGTGAGAAAGTTTTAACATTCATCCAAAAGAAGTTCTCACTAACAATGTCCTCCCTGTTAGTTGACTGTAAAAAGTATATAGAACCCTTCTTTTCTTTTCAATCTCATGTAACCAACTTTTTTTTTTTTCAATATTAAAACAAAACACAAATTACACAAAATTAACAAATACGAAAACATTTTAGAAAGAAAAATGAAAATAAGCTTTGATCTCTACTAACAAAATCCAAAGAATTTGAAGGGTATATCTGTTTTCAACTTTTCAATGGCAAACATTTCTTGGATTTTTCTTTTCATAAAATACTTACGCATCGAAAGGAAGAAGATAAAGAATGTGTTATGCATATTATCTGCCTTTTTCTCTGGTTGCATAAACTTTTTATTTTCTCTCTTTATTTTTAGTTTTAAACCAAAATCTTTATTACACATGTTTCATAAAACATAAATCATTTATAAAATTTTGTATTAAATCCCACATCATTAATTGAATGAACCATCCATTTAGGAATGAGATTGTTACTAAAAAAACTTTTCTGAATTGAGGGGTATTTAGGCCAAATCTTAGAGACAAATATGTGATTAAGTAAAGGACTTTTTCCCCCCCAAGGCTTCGTGAACCTCCCAGTTCTCAGTTCTCACCCATAGTTTCATAAATTCCGGATTCCGTCCTTAAATTTGCACTGTCAGGAGGGACTGTTGAGTCTGGCACAGATGTAGAGAGTGCTATTATCGTATTGCTCTGGACAAATAAATTAATGAATTAATTTTTAACCCCTAAATTAGTAGAATTAGAAAAGTGACCACCTTTCTTTCAAATTTATTTTAATAATGTCCTCTTCTTCAACCTTCACATCACCCCATCCGGCCATCTCCAACCACCGAATCACTACCACTGCCACCACCACCTAACCACTGCCGCCACCCAACCACTATTACCATCCAGTCAAATTAATTAAATTTTAGGAAAACCCTATACATCTCTAATTCATTCACCAACACCCTCTTCAATCCAAACCCACCCAACCCTCTAAATTTCTTTGAATCTCAACAAACTTCATCACCAACAATCTAAACAACACATCACCAGCAATCCCAACAAACTCTATCGAATTTATTTAAAGCAGTGGCTAGATCGGGCCACAATCTGGCCACCATTGCTCTAGATCGGGGTGGCACGATTTGGAGCAACAATGGACAAATCGTGACGACCCAATCTGGCTTTGCGGTCGGCCAGATCGGGCAGCCACAAGTTGGCCACCTCTTGGCCGTAACGGGCTGCCAAACAGCAACACCTTGGGGGAGTTGATTACGCCGCGGTGGCCGGCGGCTGTGCGAGGGTTGGAGACTGTGGGTTAGGGAGGGAGAGAGGAGCGTGGCTGCTAGTTAGGGAAAGAAATGGAAGGCTGTGGCTGAGGGAGGGAGAGAGAAGTGGTTGAAGAGGAGGAGTAGTTTTAGAGAAAGGGTGTTCGTGAGAGAATTTTGAGATGTGAAGGGTTATTTTGAAATTTTTATTTTCATTTTAGAGTTAATGCAGTGTAGCATTTAATTGTTAAAAAAAAAAACGAAAAGAGTTAATTTAAGGGTGAGAATGTGGAATTTATGAAACAATTGGTGAGAAATGGAGATTCACGAAACCTTGGGTGAGAAAATGTTGTCCACCCTATGCAATTTTTCAAGAATACAAGGAGGGGCAAAAAATAGTTAAAAAAAAAAGATGAGAGGGTTGAAAAAGACAGTGACATATGTGCTGGTGGTGGGGTTGCGGATTAAGAGGGCGCACGTGGGCTTGGTAAAGCCTGCTATTTGACCTATCACTTGTTGGCTATTCCTAATCCTACGTGGCCGACAACAATATATTATCTTATCTCTACATTTTATTTCCTCATCTTCTCACGCTATTCTGACCCCCCTCTTCCATTTTAATTATTTCAACATTATTCTATAACTACTACTTAAAACTAGCATATGCACCATTAAATAAACTTACGTAAAATTTCCAACACCCTTATAATTTAGTACTCCTATTATTTTCTTTTATTAATCATTTACGATGTTCTTAAATGCGCGTGTCAACCACATAATGTGCGTCTCTCAACATTTTTGGTACACCAAAAAACATTCTATTCGGACTCCATCGCCTACGAAAAACAAGTCACTGTCCCTGCTCGGTCACCTCTTCTGTTTTATCATTATATTACAAATAGCCTTCAAGACAAAAGAAAGAACACGATTGAAACGCAAACACAAGGACCATCTTAACCGTACACGTGGCACACGTGAATTCATTGGCTGTAAACCAATAATTCAACAGGCCCACAAATGGAGTTTTGACCACTATGACACATCAACACATACAACTAAATTTTAATCCACAAACCCAAGGCCGTGTTTGGATGCTCTTGAACAAAAATCATTTAAAATATTTGGAAATGCCGTTTAGTTGAGGACAGGAAAATCAAACCAAATTTATGATAATCAAGACTGATTAACGAATCTCTATTTAATTAATTATGTGTTTCTCAAGACTATAAACGAACAAAACAGACATTTCAATAAAGTAGAAACAGGTTTTAGCAATAAGACCACCCACATATCTAATTATGATTATGATAAAAATTTAGTGTTTTGGACGTTGTGCTGCAAAAAGTTGGATATAATTGGAGAGTTAACGAATTTTCCTACCCAAATAACGGTTTAATGATATTTTTCCATCCACAGATTTTTAAAATACTATTTTATTATCTAAATTTATATTCTAATAATGAATAAAAAGTAAATTTGATCTAGACTATTAAGATTTTTGAAGAAGAAAAGCCGATGAGTTTTTTGATAGTGAAATATTAGATTTTGGTGGTTGAGATTGATCAGAATTTGATTTTGGATGGGTGGTCATATAAATCCTAATCGCTCGATTGCTAACAATTGACAGGTCGACGGGAGTACGATTTGAAGGGTTTTGGTGAGTGATGATCGAAGAAGAGAATGGTGATAGTGTGGGGTCGTAACGATGTTGAAATCAGAAATAGAGTATAGATTTGATTAATAAAATAATATTTTAAAAGTTTGTGGATAAAAATGTAACATTAAACCATTATTTAGGTGGGAAAAATTGGTTTACTCTATAATTGGAAGATAAATAGTTTGAAAGTACGATTAATCACACCTAATTGTCACTTCAAATGATTAATGGGCCTACATGATAGTCCATGACTTGGATATCTGGGCCCATTAACCTTATCTGAACCCATCTAAAGCTACTTAATGCCATCCAACTCCCTATTAACACCCACTAACTTTTTAACTGGAACATAAACAACTTGTCGCTATTTGGTCAAAGGTTATTCAAAGGGGCACAAAATTTAATATCTTACTATTTCTCTATTCAATTCCTTTAATCTAAAGGCATTTGCTTTCTGCGTAAAGTTAAGAAGCTCGTGACTTCAGAATCTAACTAAATTTTGTTTAAGGAAGAAAAAAAACAGTCCATAGAAATTTATATTAAAAGTGATTATTAACATTCTGCTCATGAATTAACCCATTAAATCTTATTTGAAGCAAAAGAATCTGCAGATTACTTCTTGTATAATACTCAGATACCGTGGGTGTAGAAGATGAAAGTAGAAGTTGTTTTGACCTTCTGATGAAGGCTTTTAACCCATCATTAATGATGGCTCTGCAATTAGATGTAAGTGCAGGGATGGTATATAATCACAAGTCGAAGGGTGAAGAGAAGTTTATAGAGAAATTTCAAGGTCAAGCTTTTGCTTTTCTGGGCAACCATCAATGACTACTGATTCCCATGAGAGAAAAATGATTACAAGAAAAGATGATGAGTTAAAAAGAATAAAAAACATCAGCAACCATGCATATATATCAAAGTTTTAATTCAAAGCTATCTAGTTTATATATATAGCCCACAAGGCCAACAGGTACAAAAATTGTTGAAGTACTCTCCGATATCTATATTAATTATCGGCCGCTTCTATTTACAATCCACCAAAAGAAAAGAGGAAAAAAGAGAAGAGAAAGAAATCCTCATTTTCTTCACCATTGCTATGGCTAAGAGGAGAAGTTAATTAATCATGCCAACAAAGAAGCATGATCACACATCTCCTAATAATGTAAAGCTTAGCCCTTTGCTCTCTAAGGACACCTCCTAGCCCTCTGCTTGAGAACCTTCTCTTTGAAGCTCCCATGGTAGCACTGCTCATCTTCATCTTCTTTCTTTAGCTTAGAAGACAGAAAGAGAGAAAGAAAAAAACTGGTTTTTAAGTTGGTAAAAATAAGTTGCTTTAGTTTGAAATGATGTGGGGGTGTGAAGGGGGGTTCTTATAGTAAGAAGAGGGCGTGGTCCAGGCTCAAATTGGTCTAACAAAGAGCCAACGNCACACATCTCCTAATAATGTAAAGCTTAGCCCTTTGCTCTCTAAGGACACCTCCTAGCCCTCTGCTTGAGAACCTTCTCTTTGAAGCTCCCATGGTAGCACTGCTCATCTTCATCTTCTTTCTTTAGCTTAGAAGACAGAAAGAGAGAAAGAAAAAAACTGGTTTTTAAGTTGGTAAAAATAAGTTGCTTTAGTTTGAAATGATGTGGGGGTGTGAAGGGGGGTTCTTATAGTAAGAAGAGGGCGTGGTCCAGGCTCAAATTGGTCTAACAAAGAGCCAACGATGGGGCATGAAAGGGCGTGCGACTGCCCCCTAACCCACCATTCAACACCATATGGACCCTACGCTCAGTTGGGAATCCATGCATAAACCCAACACCAATTTGATAACAAAACAAATCCAAACGAAAAAACTTTTCTTTATCTCTCTCTCTTTCTCTAATGGCCATGTCATACATGATACATACTCTATAGCCTATCTCATGTAGCCGTCAACAACCAGCACAATGGGTCGGCCATTGCTTCAATAAGGTAGCCAATGACCAAGTTTGTGGGCTACCTTTCAATTTCTTTTGGTGATGAGGTTATTATACTTTGATGATGAGATTTTAATTCTCTTTACTATATGTATAAACTTATCCACCTAATTAGGCAATAGGCCTTTTCAGTTGAATCCTACATAACAATGCATACTAATGAGCATATTCTTCATTAATTTAAGGTTATAATGATCTAATCTTATCATGTTGACTCTAATACAACATCATCCAAGTGGGGACATGCCTATCAATTGCAAAATGACTCAGATTTCGGTATGAATTTGTATTTTCCTTTTTGACGTTATACAAAGAATTATATTTTAACCTCTTGATTTTTTTTTTATATAACCAGGATGTCTGTGTCAACTAGTGTGCACCTTAACTAATCATCGAGACTCATTGAACATCATACAAACTTGATATTTTTGATAAGCTACAAATGTGAGAGGTGATCCTACGATAATTTGAATCTAAAAAATCAATAAAGAGAGTAAACCTTCTTGACCACCAGAAGAATCCTTAGGATTAACTCTTGAATTTGTTTCTTGGTTTAGTTAATGACAAAAGAAAAAGACTTGCATTCATCATTTCGAATGAGAAAGAAAGCAATAAAAGTTTAGTTGAGACTGACTTCTTATTAATAGCAAAGAGAATTAGGTGGCTTTGGCTTTATGTCTATGTCCATGAATAAGATGTCAAAAAAAATATCTCATTAATTGTAATATATACTTCAGGAATATTGCTGAATTATATTTCACAATTATTTCTTTTAAATACATATCAGATGAACATACGTATGGATGATGTAACATATTTCATATATGCAAGATTCTGATCTCTTGTCTAGTCATATCCCTAAGAAATATTTAACGTGGGTTAAACTTAAATAAACAAGGATTAAAATCGCAAGACATAATGATAATCTTGAATATCAAATATCTGAATGTAATGGGTAGTGAGTTTGAACGCACATTGTATTGTTGTAGGTTGAGAATTAATGAAGCTAAACCATATATTACAGTGTAAACTGGCGAGGAGACAAGATGAGAATAAGATCCCACCGACAATGTAATTCTTGAGATCTGCCAGGAATTTGAATCTAATTTACATCTGGCTTAACGTAAGTTGAAATTTGAAAGAAACATTTGACAGGGTGGTCACATTTATTAGTGTGTTGAGAGATAAAAGAAATATATAAGAGTGATCATCAAGCATATATAATTTGCATATACTCGCACAATTCTTATATATTAAAGTTAGGATCGAGTTGAAAACCTTCAAATTTTAGCTTGTTGCAGGAGTTGAACGTCACTTCCGCCATGAAAAACATGAAAAAGACAACACAAAGTGTTCCCAAGACTCGCCAATTCCTACACTGTAATTAAATACTAAAAAGATGGTGAAATTTCAAGGTTATGACCAAGATTCCATTCTTATATATATATATATATATTGCAGCATTAACAATAAGCTTAAGAAAATTAATTAATGGCTCAAAACCCCACCAAGGATTGATTAAAGAAAGATAATTAAAATCATACTTCATCAAAAACAAAAAGCACCACTTGCTTGGTCTCGTGCTTCCCCCATTTAACTTATATATTAACACCAATATGATTCCAATAAACTATTTTATCATCACTCTCTTGTAGTATTCTTCTTTGAAGAAAGAAATAAAAAAAAATGGGTTCAAGTTGTCAATCTCATTCAGGAGCTCATAAGCAATACCTTTAATTTGTTGCCCTTACTGGTCATCGGTCATCCGTCGATTTTTTTTAACTGTAGACAAGATATTAAGATACTACACCAAATTGTTTATATATGTACTTTGATTATGCGACTCAAAAGATTGAGATTTGATATAGATGATCAAAGAAAGATTACAGCTTCTAAAAAGACAAAGAATAATGTGTTAAATATAGATTCATTTTGTGTATATGAGGATGGGTAAATCCTGAGCAAAGAACCAAAATATCACCTGCCATCTTTAAGGTCAAAGCTCAGTTGGGAATTTTCATTTTCGCACTCTTTTAGGCAAAGTAATCGGTATTAAACAGCTCGTTGATTAAGACAATTGGGTGTTTATTAATTATTATTACGGACCAAATGTTAATTTTCGAATAACAAGTTCATCAGTTTCAGGGTTATATTCTACAATGTCGGCCAACGAAAGAAAATAAAAAATAAAAAAAGAAAAAGTTAAAATCAGGATGTTTCCACAGGCAGGTAGACCAACAATTCCCTAGGTTTATATGTAGTGTAGAACTATATATGTCTTGATTAATTAAGATAAAACATACAATATTATTTATTTGTTTTATAAGATCATATGATATAAGCATTTATTATCATCACCATAATTGATAATATAATTTTATTATTATATATATATATATATGCGTCCAGCTTATATAATTAAAATTTTTTTGTATATGTTTCCATGAAATTTCTTCCTCTTCCAAATTGAAAAGAGAGACCAGTTTGAAAAATATATATCGTAGTTGCTTCGTGGTTCCATGCAGAATAAGTAATATTATCATGGAGTGATAAACACCCAAAAAACTTTGGGAATTCAAAAAAGCTGGAGACAATAATAATATTGATCTACGAATTGCGCTATAATCAACGTGTTACAGGCTTGAATTCAAGTTTCTCATGTTGGGTTTGTTGTACTGCATCTGCATGTTTATAAAAATGGCTTTGTTGTACTGAACACTGAACAAGAAAGGTCAGAGTTGCACGTGAAGTTCTCGTGATTAACAATGCCATTGCCTCCGATAGACTCAACATTATATATTTTCTTATCTTATATCACTTAAATAATCAGTTAGTACTCCATCACCATACTTCTTCGTGGTTCTTTATTAAGTAACTCCCTTCCCACATGCTGTGTTTCTATCACTTTCCCCTCAATAATTACAAGTTTAATTAATTAATCAACTCTTCAATCACTCAAATGGAACTACTAAACAACCCAGTTGTCTTATTTCACACGTAATCATGCAAATTAATTTTCCATTAACTTTGCTTAATACGAAACTTGCTTGTAGTTGTTTGATAACAGCGTTAAGTTAATGTTGTACGAAATTATCACATCAAATTGTCTATAACGTTGACTGAACTCCATTGCCAGCAGGATCACTGCTGGTTGTAAACAACATTAAGGTTACAGCCAGTTAATTAAATGCATATTATACCCGCTCAATGTATATGTTAGTTAATAATACAAACAAGAATTTAACATAGGGAGGTATACATGAATATATTTTATAAAAATAAATTCATAACATAATAATAGAATAGTATCAGTTAAGTTTATATATACTACATATACTGTATAATATAATAAATTTACATATTATTCTCACACTAGTTTCATTTGAAGACCTTGCAAACTGTAGGAAAACTAGAATGCTTCATGGCAGTTTCACTTCATTAAGTACATTCTGTAAATATATTATTTAAGGAGTTTGCACGTGCGTTTAAAGAATTCCAGGTATGTTTCTGTAAGACACCAGCTAATTTCTTCCATCCCAAGTCATTATTCTATTTCCACTATCACAGTCCGTTAAAATTAATGCACAAAATTTACATAAAACAGGGGAAAAAATTATTTCTGTATTTACACTCTTCATTCTTCTCTGGGAATCCACCTGCTCCACCATAAACTCTTCCTTCGCTGGTTAAGTTCATCCATACTCTCATTCAATGTTCTCACAATCTTCCTCTGCAGTTTAAGGGCTGCGGCAAGAGCATTTCTTTGAGGACTTGCCTTCTTCTTTGGCTCCATTTCCTGCACAATCAAAAAAAAAAAAAAAAAAAGGATTGTCTAGTTGCAATTCTTCAAAAAGAAATATGATTTCCAAATTTAAATGTAGTTCAGACACAGACTCTTAGTTCCTGAAGCTGAGCTTCTGTGAAACCGCCTTCCTTCTGGGTTCCAGATTTTGCCATTCGCTGAATTATCCACTGGGCAGCTTCACTGTAATCCTGCTGCGTGGCTCGAAAGAGCTGCAACCTCAAACTCTGCATGATGGACAAAGCTAGTAACCCTTCCCTATCAAAGTAGGGATGAGCTAGAGCGGCTTTTGCACTGAGTCTTTGACGTGCTTTGTACCTAACCATTGATGTCAAAAGTTCCCATCCTATGCCACCATCTAAATCTAATAATACAAAGCCCTTACGGAGGTCAGGGCTGGCACGAGGCTCTACAGTTTTCCTCCATGCATTCAAATTATAATCACATCTCTTTAGCTGACGGTTGAATTGGACAAGGCTATTGTCAGTGCGTAATGTTGGGAATGCCTATAAGAACAAAATAGTAACATTATGATCTGAGCTAAATCTGAAAACTCCAGCAAAACTGCTGTCACAGATGAGTTTAGTCCACGTAGCCCTGCATTATTATCTATGAAATTTACATCTGGAAATATCAAATAACTCTAAAGAATGTCATAAGTCATCTGTAATTTTAAGAGCTAATCTTCAGGAACCAGAAATTAAGGATTCAAAATTCATCAGGTTCCAATACTTTAATTTTTTAAAATTGCATAATCCAATTTAGCACATCCAGCATTTCATAATAATCTATA